AGTCACTGGCAGTTCTGGAACCTGGCTTCGTGTGCCAAAGGAGGATATTAGTCAAGATGATCGCTGACATCCCTTCCAGCTCTGAGAATGATGTGATTTCTGCCTGCAAGACCAGTAAGTGTAGCCTGGTTTCCCGTGAGTTCATGGGTTTTGCCATGTATCTGTCTTAGCCTATCTTTAGTGGCTTTCTTTTTGTATTCAGAGTGGGTGGCCTGACTTCGATCGCCTGTTCAGCCTTTGGCTGGCATCCACTTACTCATCTGGGAAAACAGTGGCTGGTGTGAGGCCTGGTAAGCACACAACACTGGAGACAGAAATCCGAAAAGAGAGGGGAGGGGAAGAAAGGAGGACAGGGCCAGGGAGAGCAAGATGAGGGATACTGGTTTGGATGCTAAGAAGTCACCTGTAATGTACATCTGGTTCGATACTCTTCCTTGAACCCCTCGCTGTGTGCGACAGGGCAGCTGGCAGCTGGGAGACGAAGCTTGCCCCTCCTGGGGAGGTGAGCAAGACACACGCTCCCTGAGATCTAGGCACTGGGGCTACCGCCGCGCTGTTACTCATTTGTTCAAGCTCAGTGAGGTTCTGGGGGCCACCTAGGAAGCAGAGTAAGAAATCCGGAGCAGAGGCCCCTGAACTTTCTTTATGCTGCCCTTTGGGAGCCCTCTTTGGTGACTCTCCCAATCTGAATGACTTCCTCTTCTATTCTCGCCGATTGTAGCTGTGATAGAAAACCTCTTAGCAGACCCCACTCAGGCAGCTCAGGAGATGCGTGGGTTTGAGCGTCGCCCCCACACACACAGACACACACACACGGCCTGCTCGTGGCCGCTGGTCTCTCCCCAGCCCCTATTCTTCTGTCCCCGTCAGTGAGGTGCTGCGCTCACCGAGAGGCAGCTGTGCTTGTTCCAAACCTTCCTGGGTCAGCTGAGTCAACAGTTATTGAAATTAAATAATTTAATTAATTATCATGTAAACCAATAAAGTACAAAGGCAAAAAGAAAGAGTTGTTTTTATAAGAACTAAGTTGAATGCTCTGAAAAGCTTGATAAAGGTGAATTGCTAACAACCAAACCTGCTGTCAAAATAGGCGTGAGTTTAACAATTAGAAGACATTAGGGGAAAACGTACAAATCCAGGATGAAGCCGCTCTCTGACCGCTTCAGTGAGTTGCAGGAGTGGGTATTTGCTTTATCTGTCATTCCATTCACATTCAGGCCCTCTCTTCCCAGGATGGAGAACAGCTGACCCTGGCATTCCCACTCTTGCTAAGGGAACTGGCTTTTCCAAATATTTGCTTGACTTTTTACGATTAAACAAAATAAATACACTTTTCCTTCTTTAAACAGGTCCTAAGGCAACAGCAGGTGTGGTCATCACATTCAGCTTTGTGCAGATTTAGATACAACATGGCCCCCTTGCTGAAGAGGCAACATTTACCCACTACACCCTCTCTGGGTGCAGACTTTGCCCATTTTGAAAAAGCCTTCTGTGATCCTTGGAGCTTTATGTATATGAAAGCCTGGGGTGTGTCAGAGGTTACAGAAATAAGGGTTTTATAATATCTGCACAGAGAGTACTAGGCTGAACAATTTTCAGACATAATGCAGTACTTTTGTTGAACATCCTTACATAATCTTACAACAATAACGCCATACACACAACTCTCAAGATAGCAAAGGGGAAAATGGACCACGGTCCCCTGTAAAGAAATGAAACAAAAATCTTGTAAAACAAAAAAGTCAGTTATGTGGGCTCCTGGGCTGGGCTGCTCTCACCTGGGGGCACAGCACATCTCTGAAGGGGCCAGAAGAGGCCCTGGAATATCTGGGTCTGGCTACTTGGAGACAGACCCCAGCCCCTGCCGTGGAGCAATCCCAGAGTCCCTTAGACACTTTTGCATTTGGGTGAGGACCAGGGGGTGTCTCCAGGTAGCTGGAGGCTCAGGGTTAGCCCAGGCAGATTTCTAAGAACCCAATCCCCTCTTCCCTTAGGATCAGGGTTCTCTCTCTTCCCTCACGCTCCAAGTCTGCTCAGACTCCCAGGGCAGCTCAGAACAGAGAGGAAAGTCACAGAAATGGCCTGCTTCCCTGGGAAGTTGTGGGCTGGCCTAAAGACACTGCAGGGAGCCTGCAGGCTGGAGTGAGTTTCTGGGACTGCCTGCACTCCTGTCTAAATCTCTCGGGGCTCTGAAATCCCCACAGTATAGGGGGCTCAGCAGACCAAAACACTGCAGTCCATAAACAAAAGTGGTCAAAGCCCTTGTTTCCAGCCAATACGGATCCTCTGTGTTTTCTCTTGTCTGACGACCCTGATCCACCTCCAGGTGCACCTCTAGTGACCATTCTCCTCAGGCTCCCAGCCCCACCAGGGCACCTCATCCTCACTGCCTTCCTTAAGAAGCTAGAAACTACCACTTGAGCTTCTTCAACTTCGCTCTTTAGTTTACAGTTCACCTGTAGTTTCCTTCCTCTGGTTCTGGGGGACCGAAGTGTCTCTCCTGGTCTCCACGGTCAATCCCACCTCGTGGCTCCTGACCACACCCCATCCTGGGCCTAGATCTCAGGGTCTCATCAGTGGCTTGTTTACCTTGACCTACAAGCTGACCCGGGAACAGCCTCTCACCCCTTCCTGCCCCACCAGATTTCCTGGACGTGCATGCAAACCACCCACCTTCCCACCTGTCCTCATGTCCTAGCTCTCGTCCTCTGGAGCCTGCCATCATGGAGCTGACACCACCCTGCCCTGCACCACCTGCCATCCTGATCACCGCTCCAAACGGCCTCACCTTCCTGATGTGGCTGCCTCTTCTGATTCCCCTCCTACTTCCCTTTCTCTTCCTCCATGAGAAGTGCAAGCATTCTTCAAGATTCCATCGGTAACCCTCTTGTCTCCTCTCTCCAAATTCTCAGGCATCCAGTTTCGTCTGTTATCGCCATAGCAGGACCGTCCACCTAGTTCTCCAGTCCCTGCCTCTCTGCAGACTGATTTCCAACCTCCAGGGACACTTCCCCTAGCCTCTCTAGGCCCAAACTGTCCACCACTCCCCCGGACCCAAATCTCTCTGCCCGAAATCCCAACTCTAGCAGAGGCATAAACAACATTTAGCTATTGAGGATTCTCTGTGAGATACGGTATCAAGCAGCTTACTAAATTCACTTGATTCTGGCAATTTTTCTTACACGTAAGACTGCAGTTTCAGAACTAAAATTTTAGTGTAAGCCAGAAAGGCAATTTTGACATTCTGGGTCCATCTCTTTAGAAGGATACTGTATGGGTTACAGGGACTGTGAGGTGAAGAGAATTATCTTGTGATTCTCACAATTTATGACTTAAGCTACCTGATTAAAATAAAACTCAAGTTCATGGTTTAGACACTTTCATTTCCATTTAAGAACAACTGTTGTAGGAATATGAACTCAGGGACTCAGAAAACATTCTAAATGACACCAGAATGCGTTGACAATTTTCTGCTCAATTTCCCTAAAATTTTCACCTTTCTAATCCCAAACTCTGTCCAGGTTTATGAATCAGGACTTCAGGGGCAGGTTTTCCTTTATTTGGGAAACGGGGTTCACTACAGACAATTTTTTCCTTTTTCATCTTATCATTTCACAATCTGGAATCTGCTCACTTGAAAATTAGGCCAATCTGTTACCATTTGCACAAAATCAGAAACCTAAATGATCTTTTCTACATCTTAGGAAATCAAACCAAATGGCTCATTGATGCCCCCCGCTGGCATGCGCCACTGTGCATGGGACACAAACGGTTATCCTTTAGGGGTCCCATCAGCCTGACAGATTTCTGGATGTCTTGTCAAGAGGTGTGAGTGTTCAAACTCCTGCAGTGGGTGGCTGCAGTTTGTGTCAAAATCTGCAGGAAGCAAGAGTAGTCCAGGAATGGGAACTCCTATAAGGCAAAGAAACATGCCCAAGAGTGAAAGGTCAGACATGTGGGAGGGTATGTAGAACAGGGATGTTCTAGAGAGTGGTGACTGATGAAGGGAGAGATGACCTGGCAGCTACATGAAAAGGATGAAAAATAATGAGTCATCACTGGGAATGTGGGACCTTGGCAGCGGTAGGCAGCTGGAGAAGAGGTTGAAAGAAGTCAGGAGAAACCTAAGGGTGTCTCCCAGCTCTGCCACCAAGAGGTATAAGTCCTATGGTCATGCCACCTGTACTGACCTCAATTTCTATTCTCTAAGTTGATGGACTGAAGTAGAGGGTCACAAAGGCTCCTGTGGTGGAACAAGGATCTCTGAAATGTAATCACATTTAGCAGGGAATTCTGACAAAAAAACAAATAAGAACTTTGAGAAAACAAACAAGAAGTGGGGGGGGGGGGCATTCTTCCCTTTTAATTTAGGCCTCACACTGTGTTCCCTACAGTGGTGGGGTCTTTGTTCCCCTGCCCCTGGGGAGAAGCAATGAAAAGTCACAAGTGAGAATCGCGCCTCTGGTTTGGTTTTCCTTTGCTAGGTGCTCTTGGAAGGCGAGAAGAAACAGAGGAGAGGGCGTATTTTGCATACAGCAGGGTGGTTCTCTCCAGTGACCTTTTGCCTGGAAGGACAGAGGGCAGATTCAGATTTGCCGCAGGGGTAAGGAGGAGCACACCTTCAGCACGCTCTCAGGCTGTGTCAGACATGCCCTTGGTCAGCGAATGCAGTGGGGAATGTCTCCTACGGGACACTGTCCTTCAACCTCAGATCAAGGTTGGAGATGGAGAGACTCAGATCAAGTAAGGGCCTGTGCTTGGGACCAACTGGGCTTCCAGAAAGTCACCTCAACCCCTATTCTGAGCAGCCCGATGGCCCTGACAAACCTAAGGATGGGGCCTCATGAGGTCAGTTCTACTGACAGGAACAAAAGGGCTTCTCTCACTTCAAAAGCAGCACCCAAATCTTCTGAAGAAAGATGAGCAGTGTGGCAATATCTTCCTAATAGAACCTAGAACAAAGTTTTACTTAGGTAAGTCTAACAAAAACTACCAAAAAGTAAAACACATTAAAAACTTTATTATAAGTATCACACATATCTAAATTTGCATCAATTTGATACAGTTCTGCTCACTTTGCAGAACACAATAGTTGCACAATTTCCTTAAATCTTAATCGTCACCCTGCTTTAGATCTTTTTCTGTTCGTCCACCTCTGGCCTTGCCCTCTTCTCTCTGGGATGGCGTCCTCTGCAGTCTACTCTGCCTCACGCTGAGACCCCCATCAACCCTGGGGCCAGGGAGAGTCTGCTTCCAGAGGGGGTGGGCCGGCAGCTGGGAAGGGCAAGATATTTTCTCTTCTGTTCCAGGGCCGGGGTCACCCTGGGCAGCCACTGAGCACTCAGGTTAGGACACATTGCTCCAGGGAGCCCCCTCTGTTCTTTGTCCCATTTTATGCCTAGCCTGTGTGACTAACTGGATATTCTAAGCAAAATCAACCCCAGATAAGTTTCATGGAGTAGTCCATGAACATCGAACTGGTGCTTGATTATTATCACTGTTTTTTAAGGGAAGTAGGGAGAAGGAGTTGGGAAAAAACCCCTTGACTGGATGGGCTGGGACAGTGCAGAGTTGGATTTTGGTCTCTGCTCACCCCCCATCACTGAGGCCTGGGCAGTGCTGCACGCAGCACATATGGCCTGCTCACCCCTGGGGAAGTGTGGACACGGAACAGCCACTGGGGTTTGAAAGCAGATTTGAGAAAAAAATAGTGGTGAAAAAAGTCCATAAGGAGTAATTGACATGTTCTTTCTGAATAATAGTCCTCTTTCCCCTTTTACTGCATTTATGATCAGATAGAATGTGTGATGCATTATAGTAAAAATAATAATATTACAACAGCAGTAATTTCCCATCTGGGGTGCTATTCAACTGCTTGCAGAAATCTGCAATTTTAATGCATTTTAAACACATTAGGAACGAGTGATGATCCTTCAAACTAAGGAAAAAACCCAATAAAAAAATAAAGATAGAAAATACATGCTAATTTAATGACAAACTTATTTTGATACTCTAACAGTTTTGATCTTGAAATTAAGGGTGGGGACTAGCAGGGACAACCAACCCTTTGCTCATCAAGAACATCAATGCCAGAGAGTGTGGGGTCCTCGGGCTGAGTCAGCAGCGGGGACCATGCCCGCTGTGGTCAGCAGCTCAGCCCGTCCCCGTGTCGTCCGCCGGGCCCATCAGTGCTGTAGCAGGAAGTTGGTAGCCACATTAAGGTCATTATTTGAAGCTCTCAGGGCTTCCAAAGCATCACCTCTGGAAAATCCCATCTCCATGAGCCGGGCAACCTAAAAACAGAACAAAACCAGACACCCGATGAGGCTGATGATACTGCCACTAATCCACCAGCCTCCAAAGTCCTTCATGTGAGTTTTGTAGGACAGGTTAAAAAAAAAAAACAAATTTTCACTTCAATGTGAAATGGGATGTTTAAAAAATTATAACAGGCACAAGGTTTTAAAGTGCTTACTGTACACAGCCAACAGATATGCAGGATTTCATTTAGTCTCATTTCAGAGATGGGGAATGGGGCTTCCAAGGGTCAAGTGGCTGCCAGGATGAGCAGAGGGGTGGGCGAGCTCGTGGATGTGGCCTGGAAAGTGGGTCTGCATAAGCAGGCCCGCGCTCAGGGCCCTGTCATACTCCTTCGGTGTCAAACTTGATTCCTGAGAAATAACTTATCAAAGTCACATTTCCTTACGCACGCAAACAAGTGCTTAACTGAAGACTGATTCCTGATGCTGGCAGACATCGATGATAAAAATGCCTGTAAGCTATTGTAATCAAAACAGCATGGTACTGGTACAAAAACAGGCACACAGATGACTGGAACAGAACTGAAAGCGCAGAAATAAAACCACACATCTATGGACAGCTACTCTTTGACAAAGGTGCCAAGAACATATAATGGAGAAAAGAAAGTTTCTTCAACAAATGGTGCTGGGAAAACTTGACAGCCACATGTAAAAGAATGAAAATAGACCATTGTTTTATGGCATTCACAAAAATAAACTCAAAATGGACCAAAGACTTAAAGGTAAGACCCGAAACCATAAGACTTCTAGAAGAAAATATAGGCAGTACACTCTGACATCAGTCTTAAAAGAATCTTTTCAGACACCATGTCTTCTCAGACAAGGGAAACAATAGAAAGAATAAACAAATGAGACTTCATCAGACTAAAGAGCTTCTACCAGGCAAGGGAAAACAGGATTGAAACAAAAACACAACCCACCAACTGGGAAAAAATATTTGCAAATCATGTATCTGACAAAGTTAATCTCCATAATATATAAAGAACTCACACAACTCAATAGCAAAAATCAAACAACCTGATCAAAAAATGGCCAGGGGACATGAACAGACATTTCTCCAAAGAAGATATATGGATGGCCAATAGGCACATGAAAAGATGCTCATCATCACTGATCATCAGGGAAATGCAAATCAAAACTACAGTAAGATATCACCTTACACCCGTTAGAATGGCTAAAATAACCAAAACAAAAAAATAACAAATGTTGGAGAGGTTGTGGAGAAAAAAGAACCCTCATACACTGTTGGTGGGAATACAAACTGGTACAGCCACTATGGAAAACAGTATGGAGATTCTCAAAAAATTAAAAATAGAAATACAGTATGACCCAGCCATCCCACTACTGGGTCTCTTTTCAAAGAACTTGAAATCAGCAATTCAAAGAGACCCATGCACCCCTTTGTTCACTGCAGCATTATTCACAATAGCCAAGATGTGGAAGCAACCTAAGTGCCCATCGACTGATGACTGGATAAAGAAGATATGGTATATATACACAATGGAATACTACTCATCCATAAAAAAGGATAAAATCGCCCAATTCACAACAACATGGATGGACCCTGAGGGTATTATGTTAAGCAAAATAAGCCAGATAGAGAAAGACAACTCTGTATGACTCCACTCGTATGTGGAAGATAAACAAACACGTGGACAAGGAGAACAGATTAGTGGTCACCAGGGGAAAGGGGGGTGGGGAGTAGACACAAAGGGTGAAGTGGTGCACTTAGAATATGACTGACAAATAATAATGTACAACTGAAATTTCACAAGATTGTAAACTATCATAACCTCAATAAAAAATAAAATGGAAAAAAAAGTGCCTGTAAGTTCTTGGAATTGCTGAGCCAGGGAACGTCCTCTGGGTGCCCTCACCTTTTCAGCATTTCACATTAGTTGCAACATGTTCTAAGTCACTGGCCGGGGCTCTGTAGGTAGCAGCAGTGCATAGAGGGGCGAAGCCTGGAGCAGAACCGCAGGGAGGAGGTAGCTAAAGCCACCAAGGGTAGAGAGGACGAAGCTTGCATTTTTTTGACCACAAATCCTGAATCTGTGACTTATAGAGGTTTCCTGTACTTTTACATACAGGCAGTCTCGAATGTCGAATTAGGTGGTTTTACTAAAGTTTATTTGTAACCTATTTTCCCATTTAAAAATGTAAAAGTAATTATGACCCTGGACCAGCCACAGGAATCTGTATTTCGTACTTATATTGAAATATACTACACTTGCAATAATAATATATAGTGAAAAATGATACTTGTAGAAATGTTGAGATTTTCAACAATGTGTGGGTTAAAGAGGCTTCTGTCGGCTGACTGAGGACAGTCACCATTTCTAATCTTCTTTCTTGCAGAAAACCATGTGCTTGGTGCTCCCCAGCGGAAAGAGAAGGCCTGATATTGCCCTCCTTCCTTCTCCTTCCCCTGCTTAGGGGGTCAAGGTATGTGTGAGTGTGGGGTGCCAGGAGGAGAGAGCAGGGCGTGGGAGGGGCCTAAGTGATAGTGGACCCGGTGCGATATTGTGATTTATAAGAAACATACCTATAATTGGTCATTCAGATGACCGAAATACATTTCTCAGAGCTATTTGGTCTTCATTCAGTTCCCGGTTCACAACTCCCCAAATCCTTGGAATTTCCTGAGTGACACAGGCAACGGGAACATCCTTTCGTTACAATATTTGGTCTCTTGTCCTCAGTTCCTGAAAGTGCTTCAGGGTCATGAAGGTGAAATGGTGTCCTGTTTTTGTTAATGAAAGTGACTTCTGGACCTCACCCAAGAGTGGGGGCTGGTTGCCAGGAGGACCAGCCATGTGATCAGAGGATTGGAACTTCCAGTCCCACCCCCTGATTTCCGGGGAGGGAAAGGGGCTTGAGGTTCAATCAATTACTAATGGCTAATGACTCAGTCAGTCAGGACTACATAACAAAGTCTCCAAAAAACCCAAAAAGGACAGCTTGTCAGCCCTTTTTCAGAGAGGTTCCAGGTTGAGGAAATAGAACACTTCCACTTGCCACCATGCCGGGCCCCATCCACGAGGACAGAAGCTCCTTTGCTCGGGACCTCACCCTATGTATCTCCTCATCTGGCTGTTGATTTGTATCCTTCAATATCCTTTGTAATAAACTGGTAATCTAGTAAGGAAATGGGTTTTCTTGAGCTCTGAGAGCTGTTCTAACAAATTAATCAAACCTGAGGAAGGGGTTGTGAAAACCTCTGATTTATAGTCAGTTGGTCAGAAGCACAGGTGATTTGAGATTGACATCCTGAGTTGGAGGGGGTGGATAGAACCTCCAGTTTGTAGCTGGTTGTCAGAAGCACAGGTGACAACTTGTGACTGGTGTCTGAAGTGGAGGGTGGTCTTGTGGGACCGAGCCCTTTACCTGTGGAATCTGATTCTATCTCTGGGCAGACAGTGTCAGAATGGAGTTGGATTCTCTGGCATCAGGGAACTGCTTGTTGGCGGGGAAGCTTCCACACACATTGGAATTGAGTCCAGGAACCTTTGGTAGAGAGGCTAACCCAGCTGAGAGGAAAAGGGACAGGCAGGCGACACTTCCCAGAAGCTGGAGTTCTGGCCAGTGTTTATCAAACTGAGGCTGCGATCCCTCATTAGTAAGTCATGAACACTTAGTGGGTTAAGACTAGGATTAAAAAAAAATGCATGTAAGTGAGGGTCTTTCTTCCATAAGACTTCATTTCAGTTCTCCATATTCACACATATGTATGCAGTGGCTGCCTTTCTTACTGTGGGCTGTGATCAGAAACCTTGACAGCTGTTTTCTAAAGGAATGGTCAGAGCCTGTGAAATGGGCCATCCACAGGTGAACAAGTGTGAGGTGGCAGCACTTGCAGGTGCACGACTGAGGGGATCAAGGCGGTTCCTAGCTCAACTCCTCAGGTTGATGGATAGCGTGGACGGAATGGAAGAATCTTCTGGTTTCATTTCCCACTCAAGGAAAGAACCATCTTTTCCAGACTATCACAAACACCCTTTACTCATTGGCTGAGATGGAAAGTTCTTCCTCAAACGAAGCAGAATCAGCCTGACTAGTTGCCATTGTGAGACTTCAAAGGCCCTAACTTTGCCCTTTGAAGTAACAGAAAACAACCCCATTCCCTTCTCTATATGAAGCATTTTGAGTGTCTGAAGGCCGCCCTCCTCCTCCCCACACCCACTCTGCTACTCTAGGCCAGGGCCTGGCTGTCCCAGGCCACGGGGCGCTGCATCTCTCACCTTCTCTAGGGGTGTTTCCTCTGCTGGGAGGCTCTTCCCTTTGCCCTTGGCCTGGTTAACTCCTTTTCATCCACTGGATCTTGGTGCACTTGGTTCTTTCCCATGTCTCCCAGACTACGAGGAGCCCCAGAGTAGAAGTCTCGTGGCCCCATTGACCTCTGTCCTGTGCTCATCATGGCCATGACATTTATCTGTATTTGTAGCGTGGACTGCTCCCTACCACTGTACTGTAAGCTGTCTGAGAATAAGGGCCCTGGCTGCTTTGTCATTCCTCTGTTTCAGGATCCAGCACCTTCTAGCCCAGCCCCTCCCCTTTCAATGCTTGCCCATTTCTGCCATCTCAGAATATGGTGTCCCAAACTGGGTACAATATCACTGGTGTGGTCTGAGGAGGGTAAAGGGCAGCCAGACCGCTGCCTTCCTGGGATCTCAACCCTCAGGATAGCAGACGACTGCTTCAGTAGCATTCATACATGTGTCTATGTGTGTATATATGCCCTTGTGTATGCAGCCACGCCACACTGGTGTAGCCAAGTTAAGGTGGGGCCTGGTAAAAACCTGCAGGTATTTTCACATGAAATGCTCAAGCCAGGCTTCCCAAGCCTATCCTGTAAGATTATATTTGATCTTTCAGGTTTAGGACTATGCACCTTTGTTAAATTTCCCCCTATTGTTTTCTAGCCAATCAAAATTAATTTCAGTTTAAATTCTGTTGTCTACCCTGTTAATCAG